CAGTTTGCGCAGTGCTCCGACCGAGCAGCAGAGGCACATCAGCAACTCGTGGTCGGACTCGCGACGGCGACGTCGAAGCCGGCCGCGCCTACTAAGTGGACTTTTGCCGTTCGTCTTTCTCTGTAACTCGCATCATCGTTTCGTCGACGTTTTTGGTTTCTCTAGACCCATATACCTTTCCCTTTGTTCTTATTCCAACGGCTCAAGACATTCCTTGAGCACGCTACGACATTACAGCCGCTTCTAATTTGAGAAGCGCCCACATTCAGGGCACGGTGGCTATGCCTCGTTGCTCACTTCCGTCATGAGGTACTCATGACATATACCCCCTTATCTTCCCTTGTTGTTACTGGCTACATATTGGATACTGGTAGAAGCACGAAGAGTACGGATCGAATTACATTAGAGCCTCCTAATATTAGACCCTCTTTATTCACTCATCTAGACGCATCTCTTGACGCATTAATCGTGATAGATTAATCTCTCAATCATTCCATCTACTGAAGTAATGACTTTGCAGCAGCCTCAACTTCCTCCTTGTTTCCACAGATCAAACCACCCCTCTCGTCCGTGTCCTCAATCGCTGTCTCGAGCACCCTCTTCCCGGTCGCAGAGTCCAGCGCCGCACCTCCAGCACACTCCAAGATCAGCGCGATAGGCGCTAGTTCATAAAGCCGCCTAAGCTTGGCTTTGCTCTGCTCCGTAACCGGAGAAATATAAACACCATGACCCTTGACCAGCGCATGGACAACATCCGGCACGAGGCCGCCGCTGTATCGCAGCGTGTACTTTTGCATGATGAAACGGTTTATCAGGTTCAGGTACCTCTGGTCTTCTGCTGCGGCGCGCATATTCGCCGGAGCGAAATACCGCGTCTTGATTTCAGAGGCTTGCGTCAACTGCACATCTGGGCGAATGACTTGCATGGTGCCGTCGTCTGCATATCCGACCTCGAAACATGAACCCTTGGTACCAGGTAGACGGAGAGCGACAATGGCGGTAGTACGCGGGCCTAGTACACCCAGTATCGAAGCGATTTGCTTTGTGTCCGGCGATTGATGCAGCGCTGAGGCTCCTTCCCAGACTCCGATTATCGTGCCTACACTCCAGTTTGGTGCGATGATAGAGGAGCCATCTAGCGGGTCGAAGGCGAGTGTGTAGACTTCTTTGCCTTGGTCTTCGCTGCTGTTGGATTTCGATGATTTCTCAACAGGGTCTTCTTCGCTGGACGCTGTTACAATGGCTGGGCATGAATCGATGGTTTTGCGGATCGCTTCTTCTGCCAGTACGTCCACGTTCAGTTGGTCGTCGCCGAAGGCATTGGCGGTTCCGACTTGGGTTACGGATGGGGAGGTGCGCAGATGTCCGGCTATTGTGTGGATGGAGCTGAGGAGTTTTGGGAGGACGGCATCGCGCAGTTGAGGGTGCGAAGAGGTGATGAGGGAGTTTAGGTGGGTTGGTACGTCCACGGGTTGCGACATTTTGTGAGGGTTATGTTTTATAGAGTTTGATTGAGAAAGTATGACTATTACGATGTAGAGTCTACATAAGAAGAAGAAATTCTGCGCCTGCTAGTGTTCATCAGAGTGTGACGTCGTGGTGTGGAGTTTTGGAAGCTTCGTCCCTCTAGCAGCTCCACAAGCATCCACTGAGATCATCATCGCTTCTCGGCCCTGTCCGCGTCTCCCCCAACACCGCGACGCGTCACGCGTCGATAGCTACTTTGATGTTGGAGATGCTTTCTTTTGCTCGTTCGAGGTGGGGTTACGAGCGGGGTAGCTCGGGAAGCTTCCAAGGTTAGCTGTCATCGCGGCCAGCTTCGGAAGCTCAAAAGCCATCTCTTCTCTTCATTCTCTCATGTCTTGTTCATTCCATTTTTCATAAGCGCTCGTTTCTTTCCCCCAATTCCATCAACAATGCCCCAAACACTCAAGATCGCATCCGCGCAATCCCGCACGCTTTCCACAACCGCCGAGACCCTCGCCGCTCTCGAAGCGACAACGAAGCGCGCCGCATCCCAAGGCATCGATGTCCTCCTATTTCCCGAAGCATACCTGGGTGGATATCCTCGTACTTGCGCTTTTGGCGCTGCGGTTGGCGGTCGCGCACCCGAAGGTCGCGAGCAGTTCCTGCACTATTTCCACGATGCTGTCGATATGGGCGACACACCGAGCGGCGCTGGGCAAGATTGGCTAGACCGGAAGCTCGAGTTACCGAGAGGGAAGGACTATAGGGGTGATGGGACACGAGAGGAGCTAGAGAGGATAGCAAGAGAGACGGGGGTCTTTGTTGTTACGGGGATTGTGGAGAAGTCGGGTGGCACACTATACTGTGGGGTGGTGTTCGTCGATCCAAAGATGGGTGTGTTGGGAAAGAGGAGGAAAGTCATGCCCACGGGCAGCGAAAGGCTGATTTGGGGCATGGGAAGTGCGAGTACACTGAGGGCAGTGACAACGGAGATCAAGGGTGTCAAGCTGTGTATGGGGTCGGCGATTTGCTGGGAAAACTACATGCCATTGCTGAGGCAAAGCTTGTACAGCCAGAACGTCAATCTGTGGTTTGCGCCAACAGCAGATGCGCGTGATGCCTGGTCGTCGCTGATGCGCACGGTAGGCTGCGAAGGCCGATGCTTCGTGGTAAGTGCAAACCAGTGCGTCAAGAAGAAACACCTCCCGGAATGGATCACCGGCAAAGCACAATCCCAGAGCAATGGGAGCAGAAGCGGTGTCGGCAGGAGCCTCTCGCAACAGAGTAATGGAGTCGCTGGCAGACGACGAAGTACCATCACGAAGACGCCGGAGGGTCACGAAATTTGCATACCAATACCAGAAGGACAGGCCACTGAGGGCGATTCATCGGCGATTGACTCTTCATCCACTGCAGAAGATGCGCTTAGCCCAAAGCAGCAACCCTTCTCGCAGCCCCAGTCAACAGACGGTGAGGAATATGTTTCGCGTGGCGGCTCTATGATAGTATCACCCTTGGGCGAGGTGCTTGCTGGACCAGTATGGGAGCAAGAAGATGAGTTATTAGTCGCAGACGTCGATTTTGACGACTGTGAGCGCGGGAGACTCGATTTTGACTCTGGAGGAAGTTATTCGCGAATGGACAGCTTCAAGCTCAGCGTCGAGGGCCTTGATCTGAATCCACCGCCGATGTAAACTATGTAAGCTTCATTAATAGCTCACTCATAAGGCTGAATCCTCCAAGCACTTTTCTAGCATCACTATGGGCGACAGAAGATGGGTAATTGATGCGACGTCTGTGACACAGTTGGCTTGTGAAAACCGTATTTGGTTCAGTCTTTTATTCAAGACTTGTGACAATACAGATACGTAGGCGCCCATGTTAATCTGACTGCTTCTTGTGGACTAGGTCATGATTGGTAGAACCGGTGGGCCTGAGGCTGCGAGCTACCCCTCATGCTTGGTTGACAGCCAAACGTTCCCAGCTCTCCACTCCCCTACGAGAGACACGCTAGATATTCACAATATATCACGAGCCTCTCAAGCTACCTTCGCATACTATTGCTTTCCTTCTCGTCAACCTCCAGGCAATGACAACGCGCAAGAACCTCATCATCGACACCGACTTGCACAGCGATGTTGAGTACGCATAGCCCCGTTCTCATATCACAAGAAGCTTACTAGTGTACTAGTGATGCGGGCGCATTGCTCCTAGGCGCAACTCTCCCAAATGTCAACCTCCTTGGTGTCAACGTCAACCACCCCTGTTCGTACTCTGCTCTCGCAGCGTCTGCTATTGTCGCACATTATGGACAACCAAAGACACCTATTGGTATCCGTCGCCCAATGAACGACGTGAGATTCTTTGACGCCTGGGATTACAAGCGCGGCGAGTACACGAGTAAAGTGGCCTACCACTGGTCCGGAGGCACTCTACCATGGGGAAAGGCAAACGAAGCCTGGGATCCAGTTGTCTTGTACAGAAAGCTGCTCTCGGAATCAGAAGACGGAAGCGTGACGATCGCTTCCATCGGCTTCCTCGATAATGTGCGTTTTCAGAATGTGGCTCTTGTCTATTGACCGCTGGTCGCTAATGGCTGCAGCTGTCTGGACTGCTCGACTCCAAGCCCGATGAGTACTCTCAGCTTGACGGTCGCGAGCTTGCCAGGACTAAAGTGGCAGAGCTCGTCGTCATGGGTGGCAAGTATCCGAAAGGTCGTAGCTGGAACTTCTGGGGCTCCAAGCCTGCCCTTGCCGCTCATGTGTTAGAGACATGGAATGGCCCAATAACGTTTGTAGGCACCACTGTCGGTAGAGAGGTATTAATAGGCGGACCGCTCATGGCGAGTGATCTGGAGGACGATCCAGTCCGAATGGCTTACATCTACTATGGTTTCGGGAAGCCGCTACCGAGTTGGGATCCACTTGTAAGTGTCCATATGTGGATCGCTCATGAGGCATGATCTGACCGCGTTTAGACTGTTCTATATGCTGCGAATGGTCTTGGGGACATGTTCGATGTTGCAGAGGACCGTGGCTACAACAAGATCAACCCTGAAGATGGTATGAACGAATGGATAAATGACGGAGTCTCGCATGGACGGCGGACCCTGAAACTGAAGGTCAGCAATGAAACTGCTGCGGCTGAGCTGGATCGTCTGTTTTTGGATGCTGCTCGAAGATACTCTAAGCACGCAGGCACCGCCTAGAGTGTCCCTAGAGTGTCGGAATGCCATCATGAATCCGCATCGATCTCAGATATGTACAATCACCAGACGTACCTCCATCATGAGCGACTAGCAAGTGGGTATATTGGAGTCGGGTTTCGGATCTCCGAACTTGCTCAACGCGATCCCTGGTCGCTCGTTGATCATTTAGAAGTTGCTCAAAAGTCCGTTGCTATTGCCTGCCATTGATATATCTCCACAAAACTACCTAGGTAAATGCACGACGGCACAACGTGCAGTACATGTGTACATGTCAAGCCCAGATGGTGCTAGCGGAAGACCCACGCGTGCTGCGTGACCAACAGCGATGACGTTGGCTGCAGGGTCCATGCTTCGCCCCAGCCCCAGCCTCAGCAAGATCCAACCGCGGCCGCTATCTAGACGCCAGCCTCGACCACTACCAGAGCTCTCCATTCTCCACAGCAACCCCAACCATCCTTCCCCAACCTCGAATCCACCTCGAAGTTGTTCCCGTCGTGTTTATCGCGCGACAACAACATCACCAGCTCGTCTCTTGTACCGCAGCTGTCTTCACCGCCGCCATGCAGCTCACCACCCTCTTCCTCGCCGCGCTGAGCGCTGTCTCTGTCACCGCATCGCCCTCATGGATGGGTGGCGACCAGGTCACGATTAAGGAGGAGTACAAGGTCCCAGGCGACAATCCTCTTTACTTCTGCGGCGACCCAGCCGACGACCTGCTGAAGATTGAGAAGGTTGATCTGAGCCCCAACCCACCCAAGCCGTATGTGTACCTTGTTGGACTATTGTGAAGCTGCGCAATCGCACGCGTGAAAGCTTCGCGAATCTCGAGAACGTAAAGTCAGAAGCTAACTTGTACACAGTGGCGAGAAGCTCAGCATCAAGGCCACAGGCGACTTCAAGGAGGAGGTCGGTGAGGGTTTCAAGATGCACCTGCAAGTCAAGTACGGCCTCATCACACTCATCAACCAGAACGCGGATGGTTGCGAAACGATAAAGAAGGGAGACCTCGAGTGCCCGCTCAAGAAGGGCGAGATGAGCTTGACCAAGGACGTTGATCTGCCCAGGGAGATTCCTCCGGTACGTTTTCAGCTGCAACGAGATAAGAAGAATACTAACAGCACAACAGGGCACATACACCGTCCTCGCCGATGTCTTCACCGCAGAGGGCGACAAGATTACTTGCCTCACCGCCAAGATCGCTTTCCACCGGTAAATTACCTCACTTCGTAACGACTCTACAACACGCGATGAGCAACGAGGATGTCTGATATTCAACCATGCAGGGGAAACGCGGAGGAAAGTAATGTAGGCAGTGGCAGCAAGATCAAGATGGGACAGCCTAGGGTGCAGATGAGTGGACCTTTGGCTGGTCTGGTACAGGAGCGTTTAAGGCGGAGGAATGAACTGTAAGCCATCTTTGGCGGATTTCTCTTTGATTTGACTCGCGATATCAGCATGTCTCGACTGTAAGCTTTGGTTTCAATGCTTCCCAACCATGTCTTCCAGCATGATTCACATGTCAAGTTCAAGCTCACATTGGCATTACGAGGTACCTGCAGTAGACTATTGCATCGGCAAACAGATGACTAGTCTATTGCCGGTACCTCGCAATGACAGTGCAAGTTCAAGTTTGATATGGCATGTGGATTGAGAATGTAATGACGGATTAATGTAGATATGAAGCACACGGATACTCTTCAGGGCTTCCTTCTCCGACTTTCATGCATATTGGTGGATATCATGTTTATTGACGTTGTAGCTTGTATGCACATATGACTGCTGACGGCATATGCCTGGTACCCATCCACGAGTAGTGCATGCGACATATGCCGGGGCTGCCATGTTCCGCCAGTCTGCTAGGTCCGACATCTACTCTCCGAATAATCTCCTCACCCTCTTCAGCACACTGTCCTTTTCGGGGTCGTACGGATGGTCTTTCGATGGGATCTCGAGGAGGGAGGGGAAGGCAGCGGTGTATGTCTCGACTCGGTGTCGTATCTTCTCGGCGATCTATGGGTGGTCAGACATGTCTCAGTTTCCAAGTCCGTAGAGACTCGGGCATCCTTCTGGATCCCAACGCCACATCGGGAGCGCATAAGACGTACGTGCTGGTTGATGAGCAGAATCGCGATATCCTTGCGCTCGGTGGTGAAGCGGTCGAATGCAGCTTCGATGGTCGCGGTCTCGGTCTTTGCGTCTACAACGAGGAAGTTCTTTTGGCTGTCCGGCGGCTGGGTAACATGCTACGATACCCGTCAGTCTCTTGTCTACGTCGCGTATCGTAGTCGAGGATAGCTTACGCCTACGCCTGCAAGCAGCATGCCCGTGCAAGTGTCCTGCGACCGGTTAGCGCCTTTGATCCGCCAAATGGGGAAGCCGCGAGATGCACACCTCATCGCCTATCACGGCGAGGAACTGCCTGTCCTTGTACTGTGCCGCGGGTGCTGCCATAGTGAGAGTGTAGAGAGGCAGCTGTCGTGAGGTCGGAGCTTGGCTGCACTGAAGCTGGAGCTCCCGCGCGCCGTCGTCATGGGCGGGACCAGGGCCTAGTCCGCGTTAGGCCAACTGTTTGTACTGTCGCTTCTTTCACCCTTCGCGCTTTCTTCATTGTCGCCGCACCACCATGACTTGAGCCCTGCTGCTACCCAACTTCTTCTCTCCTCTCTTCTACAAACTGGGAATCGCCCTAGCACTTATAATCGTAATACCACCGCGCCATGCCTCCCCTCGTGCGCCGCGCACCGCTCTCGGAACGCATCAAAGCCTACTTCGACCTCTCCGACTGGCTCATCTGGATCTCGGAAGAACTCAATAGTTCTGACTGGGAGGACTTCGCATCCGCATATGCGCTTTACATCGGCTTCGGCGCAAACCTACTCTTCGTACTCGCACAAGCCAATAGCGGCGCATCCACGGCTTCGGACGACGATGGCGTCTTCAACGAGGTGCAGGGTCCAGGATGGATAAAGTGGATCATGGGCTTGCTGGTCTTGGTCCTGGGTGCAGCCAGCTTTGCCAACGCGTTTATGGTCTGGGGTAAGAGGAGGTATTACCGCCTCTTCGAGCAGAGTGTGGATGTTGCGCCACAGACGCCCAGCGCGAAGCGCGTCCGAGTCGACTCATCGCCTGCCGCAGCGAGTCCGATGCAGTTCGTGAGGGGCTTGGTACAGAACAACGCGGCGAGCAGAGCGCATCCTGTCGAGGGCAGGGACGTCTGGGAAGTTGCCGTTTGGGACCCAAACCCGCTATGCCTGGAGCTGTTCTGCTTGTTCAGCCCGCTACATGTGGTGCTCTACTACTTCAACCTCCCAGTTGCTCCCTTGGATCCTAGACCGAGCGTCAGGGTGACCACGACGATCTTCATCGGAGCCGCGCTCTCGCTTCATCTTTGGTGGCTTAGGAGCTCCTTTATGCAGCAGGCCAAGGACAACTCTCTCATCAGTCGCCAGGTGCTTCACGAGTACGATAGCAAATTCGTCCACCCTTCACTACAGAAGCCATGCCGCGACGTCGGAATCCAGACCATCTCGACAAACCGAACCCGAGACTCGAGCGTCGGCGTCAAGGGCAGTAGCCACGGTCTTGCGAGCTCAATCGTCACGTACACACCAACTACTATCGTGAACCGCAAAACCTTCCGCACGAACCCGAACGTCAGCTACGCCTCACAGTACGACCCTGACAACATGGAATCACCATCTGTCACACGCTCCTCGAGACGCAGATCTTCAATTCACCAAGATCGTGGCACCTCACAATACACAACCACCTCAACAGCTACAGACGCCGACTTTTCCTCTCCGATTCGACCCTCGCAAGCGCCCAATCCCTTTCGTCAAGCACCCACCATCCCCCGAACCAACACCAAGCCTACCGACGGCGGATACCTGGGTGTCAACACTCATGCCGCGTCTCCTCTACGGAAGTCGGCAAGTGCAAATTTCTCAAGAGATGGCGAGAGGAGCGCGAGCCGTGGCAGGGATAGCCTCGGTGGCGCTTTCGAGCGCAGGGCTAGTCCAAGCAAGCGGGACGTCAGCCCTCTGAAGAGGATCAGTCTTGGCAATTTGGGCGCTGCGCGGGAGAGCGGTGAGAAGACACTGGGTCAGTCGGCGAGCTTGGGTAGAAGCAACCCGTATGGAAGCCTTGGTGTCGGACGAAGGGAGAGCGGAAGGTACTAAAGGAGTACGACTCAGTGGGAATGCATGTGAGACGCGAAGGTCAGAATGAAGAAGTGCGTGTACGATGGTGAGATGTGAGTTCGTTCAGTTCATGTATATTCTACTATCTACAATACCCGAGAGGAGCGACCATCAAGGCGCTCCTCCATTACAGAATCTCATTAATCACATAAAGCGATGTGTACTTTGTTTTGAACACTCATCGATCAACATGAGACTATCTCCATATGTTTTTGAAAGTATTCACGCATGTGTGCATGTCACGTTTCGGCTTGGCCAGTGCATCTATATAAACCTCTATCCACCCTTTACACATTCTCCCTTCATCACTCCACAGCTTCCATGTGTTTCCAAAAAATAATGTCACATCGTTCCATGTCTGTCTTCCGGTTCCCCCAAAATTGAAAAAGCGCCAAATGATGGCGTGCGCGTCTTGGTCACATCTTTTACTCAAAAATGGATCATGCTTGGGGCCATGTGCTCCTATGAGAGTAGACCACCAAAAATACAGAAACATGATAGAATGTTGCGTCCTGTCGACATGGTCTCTTAACACCCATCCCCGAGATGACGCTCGAAATATTCAAACTCCTCCCGAGGCTGGAGTGTCTCTTCCTCATTAACGAACCCCAAAAGATCATATCCAAATCTTCTTCTTTCGCTGCTATGATTTCTTTCTGTCTTTCCAAAAACATCGAAGGCTTCCACCTATGTGCTCCCCGGTCGGCTGCTGTGTCCATCTACGATTATCAAAAAGCTAAAGACAAGATATGGATGGGAGGCCGTCGCCGATAAAACTACTGCCAGTACTTAAATGTTCTCCGCTGTCAACTGGACTTCTTGTCAATTAAACTTCTGCTTTGCTTAAAAGGATAAATACTCCAGCTCTATGCGCTGAGGTCCCCTTTCCTCGTCAGAACATTTTCTACTGCTGTGGACCAAAAGAAGACCAATATCAAGACATGGCGTGTGCTTTCTCCAAAGTTGACAGGTGGCTTCTTTATGGAGCGCGTTTCCAAAAATTTAATTACTGCAAAATATCAAGAATCACAGAGAATCAATGTAATGTGTTGCGACCTTATTATTGAGCAAGAACAACAGCTTCCGTACAGTGTGTTGCCGTTGACTTCAAAACCCTTAGCAATCACTTCATGTGCAACAAGCACCCCGGTCTTGCAACGGTTATACCGTTGAGCTAGAAGCTCGTCTTGGGACCGGGACATATAAAAGCCTGTCTTGTGCTCTCTCCAGGTCTTCTTCTTCATCAACACCTGTTCCAATTTCACCAAAAGCTAGAGGTCAACCCATGATGTCTGCTGAGTACTCCAAACAGCCATCTCGATAATTTATGGAGATCTTTCCCTTTTTCCAAAAAACTTGAGTTCCATGTCATGTCCAGAGGAAGCACCCACTCTGATTCAGGCGCTGCAAAGAACTCTTCATGCGCTGGAATCCTAGATCAAAAACTTGACCACGACCCAAACATGTCTTTCCCGGGCTGTAAGCCAAAAACACCCGCGTACTTGGCTCCGTGGTTAGATGTCCAGAGGTCTCACATCATCGTGACAGCCAGTGTTCTACATCGAAAAGGCACACGCCGTCGCACATGGTGTGTTCATACCGAAGTATTCATAAAAACATGGTTGCTTCTTCTGCGGTACGTGTACCCGATGAATCTTGCTTCCAGAAAATTTACTTCAAATCATGATGGTGTCGAGCTATGTTTTGTTCTCCCGCCGCCTGATCGAAAGACTTTCTCAAACATGTCATGGCTGTGAGATCGCGATTACAGACAATTAATTCCACACCGCCGGCTTTTCTCATTCTCTCCCTCTATATTATGACACACGTGTCAAAACATGTCTAAAGATAGACCGAAAAAGCAATGTGCGACAGCGAAGCTTGTTGCTGTTCTCAGCCCTACAAGCATCATCCCGTTCAACGGGCACTTCTTTTGTTCTTCCCACACCGTTTTGTCCAAAAGCCTCGAGGGGATCCGGCACCTGGCAGAACAGCGTTGGGGCGGTACGTCATG